GTCTTGAGACTTCAGCTTCCGTGATCATATAAGCCGAGTCTTTTAATAAATATTATTATATATGTCCACACACATATACATGTACATCCTATTGATTGCTTCTCTGAAGAATCTTTACTAATATAGTTTATTGCATGTGCCTACATTTCTGCTTTTTCCATTGTTCTTCCTTCCTAAAGCTCTAAGAGTCACTCTTTCATCATTTCCTTTCTATCTGAAAAACTTCCTTCAGCCAATCTTTAAAGGTAAACTGACTAATAAATTCCTTTGTCTTCTACAAAACTCACCACACATGGTAGTGGAAACTTACTCTTGGGCAGCGTGGAGTACCTCTTTTTCTGGAGTTGCATCTAGATTTGGAGTGGGGCATAGAGGGTGCTTACAGGATTACATATACATAGTTCCAAGGATCAGGAGGAAGGTTTGCTACCTGTCATTTCTGTACATAGGCATATGCTGAAAGATTTCTGTCTGTTATTTGGTTATTAGTTCATGCTGGCCCTGTGGGGGTGTCCCCTTGTGAACAACTATGAGGGACCTCTAGGTAGGCCTGCACTTCGCTCACGTGGGCACGTGGGAAACATTCTCCTGTCACTACTCCAATCCAGGCTGCATGAAAAGCTGTTTCCCTGCTCCTCTCAGAAGCTCCTTTGTGGTTCCCAGGCTCAGCCAGCAGCCTGTATGTTCACTAAGCCCACAGGAAATCAGGAGACTGCTTCAGGTCCATCTGCCCACTCTTGTGAGGGGCCAGAAATACCAGGATCTTACTGTTTTTGTGGACCCTTTGAGGGATGGAAGCCGGCAACTACTCTGTCCAAAACCAAGACTCATCGGTGGTTCCTGCTATTCCCTCCCATTCCTTGGGGCTGGACGGGGAAAGGAGTAGGGATCCTTCACATGCAAATGAAATTATTGAAGCCCTCTTTGCTTCCACTCTGATTCTCCCTTCTGTAGCCTAGACTGTTCTAAAGTGGTTTCAGGTGCACTCTAAGAACCTTCCTGTTCTTCCAGGAAGCACACACTAAATTCTAAATTTAGGGGAAGAAGTACCAGTGGTTAGGGGTCAGGCACCTCTTACTTAGAGAAGTGGCTGAAGTTCCAACCACCACCCTGTGGACCCTACTCCTACCCAGCCAATCCCAAAACCACACTCAGACTGACAGAGGGGAGGGGAAGTTCCCTCTGAAATGAATAGTTCTTGGAAGGTCATCTCTACTACCACATCTTTTCTCCTTTAGGGAGGAGATGTGCTGCCATTTTCCTACCTGTATTAGTCTGTTGGGACTGTTGTAACAAAGTAAGACAAACTAGGTGAGCTCACAAGAGAAATTTATCATCTCATAGTTCTGGAGGCTAGAAGTCCAAAATCAAGGTATTGCAGGGTAGGTTCTTTTTGATGGCTCTGAGGGAAGGATCAGTTCCAGGCCTCTCTCCTCAGCTTGAAGATGATTATCTTTTCCCTGTGTTTTCACATCTTTCTCCTGTGTGCATATGTCTCTATGCCCAGATTTCCCCTTTTTATAAGGACACCAGTCATATTAGATTAGAGTCAACCCTAATGACTCCAGTTTAATTTAAAATCCTCCATGAAGACTCTATCTCCAAATAAGGTCACAATCTGAAGTACTGGAAATTAGGACTTCAATATATCTTTTTTGGGGGGTGGAGGTGGGGCTAAGTAAGTCCCTAAAGTCAAGTGATGGGCAAAAAAAGAGAGACTGGCATTTTGTTCCCTGATTAAATGCCTGCTTTATCAGCAGACTTGCCAGTCTCCCTGCGCTACCTGAGCAGGAGCAGGTAAGAGAAATGTGGTGAGAAGCCCCCCACCCCTGACTCCACCTCTACCTGCCTGGGCCCCAGCAGCATTAGGTTTTCAAGAGGAATGTTATTATCAGATGGATTCTGCACATGACCACAAGCCCCAAGAGTTGGCACACAGATAAGAATAGAGAACACAATCTTGCCAAGACTAACACAGTGTGGGAGAAAGAGGCACACACGGTTGAGGAATAGAGCTTTGTGCTGCCAGCAAAAGCTGGAAGATGCAGCTCAATCTCAGGGACTTCCAATGTCTAAGGGACAAACTGAGGGGAGCTCTTCATCCATGCGGGCCTGCTGGGGCATCTGTGACCCACGGAGACAACCAGAATAGTAATTACCTCCTGAGAACAGCACTGCAACTTTGTCAAGGCTGCAAGGTAAGGAGACCTCCACCCCTCCACGGTTCCTCAGCACCTGGGCAGAAGGCAGGAGGGGTGGCATGAGAGCTGGAGTCCGTCTAGCCATATCTTAATTTGGCTATGAAATGGAGGTTTTCATAAATAGAATGGAATCTTCTAAAAAAAATTTTTTAAAAGAGTTCCTCTGAAAATACAAAAGTGAAAAGTTATGGGCTGACAAGGTGTTAAGGGAGCTGCTACCCAGTAGGAAACAGACATTTGATTGAGCAAAACCGAGGAAAGTGACTGGGAAAAAAGTCAGGCTTGCTCCTCATCGTGTTGAGACTGAACAGTAGATAATGTGCAGGTGCACACAGAGCAGCACTAAGGCGCAGTCCACTCTAGTTCCTGCTGGTTTACTTAGCACGACACTGTGGGCAGTCTCCCCTTACGTTACTTCAGAAATACAGCGTTTAATGACAATGCTTTATATTATTCATCTCATAAATGTACTGTAATGTATTTAACCTTTTCCCCACTGGACATTCAGGATACATCTAATATTTTAGAATTATAAATCATGTCACAATCATCTTTGTACATACATCTATGTTCAATTTCCATTTCAAAGAGGACACATGGTTATACCTACTTTTTCTTTCAGGTGGGAGGATTAATGCTAACCAGTTTCAGAGGTTAAGTGACCTGCCTTCATCATATCCTAAATCCAAGTTTTCTGAGAATGAATCACTGACTCTATTATCAGTACATGGAAACTGTCCTTTATGCCTAATGTAAAACTTGAAAAGCTCTCTCATTTTCTTACCCATTTTCCTATATATTACTGCATTGTGTTATATTAGATGATGAGCTGTGTTTTATTTATAGCATATATAATATTCTGTGTATGTCTGAGCTCAATTTATTTTATATCAGCTAACTAATTTCATTAGCATGGGAGAAAAATGGAGAAATTGATGAATTGGAGCTTCGCGTGTCTGTTGTCAAAATTCGTCAAAGAGAGCTAGTTTGCCATGATAACAACCATTTGTGATCACAAATATATTACAGCACATAGGTCCGAACTTAACCTGAGTTTACTGCATGGTAGGAAAAAGTAGCAAAATAGTGCTGAAGAATTATGGCTTTACTCTTCACTAAACATGGTTGGAACTCTGGATCTGCCATTTCTATACTGTATGACCCTGGACAAATTTTATCTCTGTGCCTCTGTCCTTATTCTGTGAATTAGGAATAATCATAGTACCTACCTCATGGCTCATAAGAAGATTAAACGAGAAAATTCCCATAAAGCTCTTAGGACCAGAATATGCCCCACAGAAAATATTCAGTTAATGTTAGCTACTAATATTACCTCTTATTAGAAACCACAGGTTAACCTCAATTTAAGCATAGATATTTGGATTCTAACAGAGTTAATTCAAACCTTTACTCGGGGCTATTTGCTCTCTGATTTGAATATAAGACAGTCATGAGCTTTTAACCCTACACCAATTATATTTTTAATATATAAATAGAGATACATTAAGGCATCTGTGAATAGTTATAACAATTATCACCATAATAAATAAATACAAAATAGAAAAGTAATTTTTCACTACTATAATAACCGTTTATCTTATATCCTTTAAGTTCCTTTAAGTTCTTCCACAACATAAGTGTTGATTGAGGAAAATAATGAAATGAAACCATATACTGGTTAAAAAGTAGCTAGGTTTAGCTTGGAATATAAAACCTATTTATTTACAGAAAACACGCACAAGCAATTCTTACCGGCGCTTAATAAGGATCGTGGAAAAACTTTGCGAAACCAAAAACTATGTAACGGCAGCGAGTGACATTCCAACAAAGGGCTGCACCACGTCATCTCACCTCAAGTTGAAACCTCCTCACCAAAGCAAACACTTGCTAGAGAGGAATTTGGAGCTTTCCCACCACATTTAAGTGGAGACTTATCCTGGCCTCCCATGTAAACCTGGGGAGGAGGCCTCCTTTTTGCAGTGTGCATTTCACATTTTCCTTTAATTGTGTCACAGGGACAATACCCAGTGGCCAGCAACACAGAGGAGGAAGTGGTGCCCAGGATAAGATAAAGGGTTCCTAACACTATTTAGAATTCCCCGCAGATGGAGGAGTGAGAAAATTCCTAAGCTTCTGCCTCTACCCCGCCCACAGCGGAGCGTGAGAGGCAAGAGGCAGGGCAAGTGCTGGGGGCGCTGGAGCTCGGAGGTAAGTAAGCTGTTGGTTTTGGCAACGCCTGTTCCTATTGTTAGAGCACCACTGCCTGCTGCTGCCAACTCCCTAAAGGAATGTAACAAGTCCAGCACACAAGATTAATGCTCCTCTCCTGCATCTGGGGATGTTATAAATAAAGCCGGCGCTTTTTATATACTGTCTAATAGTACGCTACTCAACAGAAAGCAGACGAAGGAAACCGAAGAGAGCCTCGTTCTGCAGAGAGGAGGAAAAAACTGACGTCACGGATCCATTTTAAACACATCTCAAAATATGCTGGGAGATGTTCACATGCTAAGGAGACACAGGACCAAGTCTATGGTCCCGTATACAAATTTTGCATTTCTCTATATGTGTGTCTAACAAAATATATGCTAATAATAATAATAATAATAAAAAATCCGGAGAAGTAACAGCTCTTGGATTTCACCTACAGGGAAAGGAATGCATATGATTGTAGTGGTGGTTTTTAAGGTGAAAGACAGGTCTTGCTCTAAATCTTTCATTGTCTAGAACAGAAGCATTTTCTCCCGGCAGTAAATGGGCCCCAGGCCCTCCTGCCTACCTGTGCTGGCGCTGGTGCTGGCGCTGGCGCTGGCGCTGGGGCTGGGGCTGGCCAGCAGTGGCCCTGGGCCCTGGGCGGGCGGCGGGGGCTGCCCATCACTCAGCTGCTTGACGCGTTTGCGGTGGGATTTGCCGTTGTAATGGACTTGGGCCTGGGCTGCCGAGTTTAGCTGGATGTTGCACACCTCACAGAAGGAGAACAAAATCTTCTTTTTCTCTTTACTCAGCTGGTCCTCAGGCCTGTCACTCTTTATCCCCTTTTCTTCAAAGCCCCGTAGAAAAGTTGCCATATTCATAATTCCATCTTCAGGGTAGTTGTCAGGGCTGAAGGAGTACTTCATACCTGAAAAAAAAAAGTACAAGTGCTTCTGAAATATATGCCTTCTTATTTTCTAGTGTGATTATAACTAATTTTCATGGTAGGGTTTCATCTAAAATCTTCCAGCTACTCAGTGCTCACTCTCAGAAAAAGTTATCAGAAGTACTCAACTGAGCAAATACAGTCTTTGAACGTGTGTTCCCTCTGTCTGGAGCAGTTTCTATTCCATTCTTGCCCCTCCTCTCAACTCTTTTGCCCTTTGAACTCTGGCTCACCCCTGACATCTCAGCCAGAGCATCACCCACTCTGGGAAACCTGTCTGACCCTGGAGATGAGGCAGATCCCGGGTCACCTGCTCAAATGGTGCTGTGTGACCTCCCTTCAGAACACCTATCAAAGCGTGCACTTCATACATACTTGTGCCATTATTTGGTTTATGTCTGTTTCCCCAACAGAGTGTGAGCTCTGTGAGGACAGTAACCTCATTGCTGGAGATCCCTTAGGCCTGAAATTACACCTTTTATATAACAGACACTCAAGTATCTATTGGAGGAAGGAAGGAATAAATGATGCTACAAATCCATACTGTGTAAAAGGGTATTTGTAGACACAAAAGCATATGTAATAAACACACACCTACACACCTGCACACCTGCCCACAGACACATGCCCTAACTTGGGGAAGAGGTGAATAACAAAGATTAAAACACATTATGTCTACAACTTACATTGGGTTGTATTCCAAAAGCCCCTTTATAAGTCAGTCAGTGTGAACTTGAACATATTTTCTTATAGATGTAGTGAAACAAATTATTTTTAGGTGTCCGGTTTAGCCCATAAACATCAATTTAATCTTTGATGAAGCTGAAATGCAGAACATCTGAAATACAAAAATAACAGAAATACAATTTATGGCAATCTAGCAATTAAAAAGTCGAAAAAGAATAAAACAGAGATACAATTCTGTTTATTTTTAAGTGCTGATTTTCATTTATTTAGGTAAGGGTATAGTGATAAATTATAACCTAAGTAAAGATTTTAAAGGAGTCCTTTCAGTACCTGAAGAATCTTGGATAATAAAGATGGCCTTGGCTTTTTATTTTCCCATTCTAGTTTTAATATATTTAATTTTTTCATGTTAGCTAATACCAGCATTTACCAGCATTTTTATACTTATCAGTGTGATTATTACAATGCTTTCACTACTCAGCTGGAACAAAGAAAAAGATACTCTCATAGAAGAAAGAGGAACAATGTTCAGAGAATAACTGGGCAAAAACTAAGGGAAAAGGGGTATGCATAAAAAAGATTTGGCTGAGGTGGACAGTACTGTGCTATGAGGGATGAAGAGTTCAGATAAAGAAAGGATTGCAGCTTGTGAGGGATTCTGCCTGTGGGGGGAAATGCAAAGACGCTGGCTTTGAGCAGTTTTGTTGATCCCAGTTGGCTTGGAGCTCTCTATGGAAGGGAAGGAGCAACAAAAGACTAGTCCATATATGGAGTTTGGAGTCAAATGTTTAAAATTCAGAAAATAAGTCAGAGTAAAGGGTATGACCATAAAGATATTGATTCTATGTATATGGAATGTCAAGAACTCATTCACACCCACACACCCTATTGCAAAGTGCCATTATACATTATACCATAGGTTAAATCCCATCCTTCAGAGAGTTGTTAGAAAATTGCTAATTTTGATACATTAAACCTATTTGTTCCATAAACACTTTACCCAGATACTACCAATTTAAGGAACTCTCTTCCACAAAATTTTCCAAATGAATCTATTCCTTTCAGCTCTCCACAAAGGCTGTTTTCTTCCTTAAAATCTTTCAGACTATGCATAAATCAGGTGTAAGCAATTCCTATAGCTGAGTTGCAGAAAATAACTCTGTTATAATTGAAATGTGATTTGAACTGCACATATATCAACATTTTTGCTGTATTCCCTAAATCCAAAATACCATGCTGTCACAAAGCCATTTTTCTCTCATAAAACTTTAGAAAATACTAGTGCCATAGAAAAATTATGTTCAAACATACTACGTTGCATCCTCTCTTAAAATACTAAAATTTATCTTAAGAATTACTGAACTAAATGATACAAAAGATACATAATTTTTAAAATAAGCTCATCTTTAATACAGTATGCCTTGCCTAGAAATCTAATCCATTGTAAAACATAAGGAAAACCAGTAACTTTTAGCCTTGTAAAGAAAGCGAGGTCAGGCATCATCTCACTGAATCACCAAAATCTAAGTGTTACATTTCAGCTCAAGCAGCTAAGATCGTTGACTCAGCTGAGGATGGATGACACTTTCCTCTGGAAATTTACCTTCTGTGGAAGTGGGTGGACTTGCCCATGTTGCTAATTAACACATGGTATTTCACAGAAACAGGAAATTCATCAATCACGACGCTCCATTTTAAATTTGAAATCTAAAAAATTACTTCTTTGTATTACCTCTTACAGCTTATCTGTGCTTTTCTGATTGACATTTGTCCTAGAAGTAGGAGTTACTCTCACTTACAGACAAATCCCTAAACTTCCAGCACCACATTCATGGGGCCACTTTAGGGAGGTAGAAATGCCTGGAGGTGGAGTGTACGTTCTGTCTACCAAGTCCCAATTTATTGGTCCTAGTGCTGGCTTCACCACATGTCCTCCCCTCTTAGGGGAAAAATAAGTTCAGCTCCTGTTAACAGCCACTTGCAACCAGAACATATTTAGTTCCAGAGGTCTTGGGAAAAGGACCTAGAAGTGGCAGAGAAGCAAGATATCAGTCCCAACATCCACTTTTGGCCTGAGATGATATAATTTCTAGGCTTATAATATGTGTGGTGATGATAACACTTATAATGTCATCTTTCTGGCTAAGGGGATCTTAAATTACATGTTTCACTTGCATAGGGCAGAAGGACCTTCAGAAATATCCAATTTTAAACACAGCAGTGGGCAGGATCCTGCTTTGGAGAGCCATGCAGGCTTCTCTGTAGGTAAGAGAAGTCAAGACACCAGACCAACTGTTCTACACTTTTTTGTATTATTTTGTCAGGTTAGATAGCCAGGCATTTAACATTCATAAGAGAATACGATATTTTGGTGCAGTTCATAGAATAAGAAAGTCGGTCCTTGAGTTGCTGCTTTGGGGGAAAGGACAAAATGGGATAGTTAGTGACTATCTAAAAGGAGTGATTTTTCAATGACCAAGATGCAACGCATCAGGAAATTTTGTACTTAACAACTTACTCTAAAACTGGCCTTGACCTGCATAATTATCCAGTTGTCTTTTATAATAAATTTAAATAAAAGGAAGCTCATTCAGAAGTAAAGACTGGAAGCCACAAGAAGATTGTAAACACGTTACTTTAGAAAGAAGAACTGTCCGAGACTGCTGAAGCTCAAACTGCACTATTCTGTGCAAGCCCCACATTTTGGGGTCATTTCAGATGGATAAACTCATCTTTGGGGAAAGTACTGATTTTGTTCTGCGTTATTTTAGGGAAAGGCCACACCTCTTTGGATGGGTGTAGGATTACCCCAAAAGGAAT